ACAAAAGCGATGTATTACTTAACTTATCCATCAACATAATAATCATGGCATCATTTGTGGCGCAATTATCAATAGTAACAATAGAGATTTTTCTATCAATATTCCAATCCATCATACATGCAAGCAAAGTATCACAAAGAACTTCTTATGTATATGGACATGGAACATAAATAAACCTAAAATATAATATTCATGAACAAGTATTAATAATATGCAAATTGAACTGAATAAGATAGAATTTTTAAAAGATTTGTAAATTTACAAACTTAATGCAAATTTACCTCAAAATGCGACTTTGTAATGTCCATGAATCATCAATAAAGTGTGTGGTGACAGACATGAATCATTTCTTTTGATTGTTAGCAGTCCACATATCAGTTGTGATTGCCACTCTACTTTTAATATGCTCCACCAAACTCAATGTCTTCACTCTCTTATAATCATAAATTTTTAAAATATCACTTTTTATCATATTTCGAGAAGGTACTTTAAACAATAGTTGAAGTGCTGCTGAATATCGTTTAAAACCAACATGATCTACGATAGAGAGGGGATATTCATGTAATATTATGGCATGTGACAACTCTTTCCTAGCAAAATCTAGATAAAAAATATAAGAATTCATTTTTGGACTCTCTCTATTAAAGTTGTTAGTTAAAACTTTTTGCCTCATGTCTAACACTTTTTTCCTAGTACAACTCTTAAAGTGATCATGCAAATGTCTAGTTCCATTTTTTGAATCACCTCCAAGATGTTTATTACAATAATTACATATTGTCTTTCACACCCCCATTGACTTGTTGTTTTTTAAAGTGTTCCCACACAACACTAGTTTTCCTTTTAGTTCCTCCACAAGTATTAGACTCTTCTTCTAAGTCAATAACATTTTGATTAGAAATGGGAGACAGTGAGTTGGTAGGTGAGTTGGTAGTTGACAATGATTGTTGTGATGCCTCACTCTCAAATGATAATTGAGAGTTAACTTCTGACATTTTTAACTTTTACAAAAAATAACATGAAATGAATAAACAGATGTAGCCCATTATAATGTAAACACTAATCACATCCAAATATCCTAATGGAATATCACAGAGAGGAGGATCCAACACCAATCTCACCCAGTTTGTGCAAATAAAAAGTAGTGATCAGGTGTATAAGAATTCTAATTTTTCAATGCCTCGAATTGCCAAGACAACCATTAGGTAATGACAGTTTAATTAAAGTGATCCTTTGACAATCTATCTAGCCATCAACCTTATAATAATACCCCACATCCAATGAACAAAGCATTAGAAGTTCACAATGAAGACCATATAATACAACAATCAGAGTGACATTCTTTAAAATAAATCAGATTATTTTTAAACACAGATCAGATAATGTTTAAAACAACAATCAGAACACCAATTCCCAAACACAGATCAGATTATTTTTAAAACAACAATCAGAATAACAATCAGAACACAATCAGAATACCAATTCCCAATTAGAACAACAATCAGACCATATAATACAACAATCAGAGTGACATTCTTTAAAATAAACAGGTCAATAATTAATAAAAAAATAAACACAGTTCATATAAAATGAAAGATTATTTTCATAAATAGATATGCAGATCAATAATAAACAGATATACATTAATGATTTGCTTTGTAAACAGATAAACACAATCCCACTGTAAAATTTTCGCTTCATTTCTTTTTTTGTTTTCAAATTCATAATAAAATTTGTACTTTTTAACATATATATATATAATAAATAAATTTAGAGAGAGAAAAAAAAAACAAAGGTTGAAGAAACAGTAAAATGAAATCCTTAGATCACAAATGTATACACTCAGATATATATATATACATATATATATATATATATGTATGTAAACCCTAGATCGAAATCCCTTGAAAGAGAAAAAGAGATACCTAAATAGAGAGAGCAGCGAGGGAGGAGCAGCGGTGAGGGAGGAGCGATGGTGAATGAGCAGAGAAAGCAGCAGCCTCGTCGTGTGTGAGAGAGAGAGAGAGCGAGGCGAAACCCTAAACAGCAGCGGCGGTGAGGGAGGATCGGTGGTGAGGGAGGAACGCCGATGAGAAAAAGAGAGAGAGGGAGACCAAACCCTAAACAACACAGAGGCAAGAGAGAGGAGAGAGGAGAGAGGAGAGAGAGAAAAAGTGATTGTCGTGTGTGTGAGAGACTGAGTCGAGTATGCCAAACCCTAAACAAACACACATATATATACCTAGGGACATAATGGTAGTTTTACCTCGGGGGCCAAACGGGGCGTGGTCAGGTCCGGGGCTTGGACATGTATACCCGTTCCTGGCCCGAATATCATCGAGGATTAAGTTTTGAATACCATCCCCGGCCCGTCGGGGGTATTTTTCGGGGAATAACCTCTCAATTCGGGGTCGGGCTACCGTCGGGTCAGGTTCAAATTGTCATCCCTATCAGGATTGTTCATTGGCGTCTCTGATCCGATTATTAGGTGGTATAAGGTGGTCAAGGGATTGGGAATTTCTATTATTTGTTTTGGTGCCTCCAGATGAATTTCATTCAGATTTGTATTTGACATATTGGAAAATTCTATTATATAATATACACCCTAATTATGTTATTTTATTCTTTACTTATGAACAATTGCTTTCCACTGGGTGTATCCTCTAATGTTTTTATTGAAATCTAGTAATTTCTAGTTGATCAAAAAAAAAAAAAAAGTTGTATATATATATGTATGCGTAGTTGAAAATTACCTACCCCATTCTCTCTCTCTCCATCAAATCTAGAACTAGACCACCATCCCTTCCAGATTTGGAACTAGACCACCAGATCTTTTACCTTCGTTTCCCTCATTCTCTGTATAGATAATGGATCTTTTTTTGCCTTTTTTTTTTTTTGGATATGTTTTTAAAATTTTTGATAGATTCATTTTGCACAGATAATGGATCATCTTTATGTTGGTGTGTGTTTGAGAATGAACGGATGTCATTTCACATAAATAATAGATTATCTGTGTATGGACTTGTTGGGACAAGAATTTCAACAAATAACATTTTACACAACTAGATTTTGAATAGATGGCATTTCACACAGATAGATGTTGTTGTTGTTGTTGTTGAACATATATGTAAAAAATTGAACAGATATGTAATAGATAGTAAAATTTGGACAAATATTTGAACAGATAAGGAAAGAAATTAAAAGGATAAAAAAATTATTTAAACAAATAGTTAAAAAAATTAAACAGATAACATATTTGAACAGGTAGTTAAAAAAATTAAACAAATATTTTTTTTAAAAATTAAACAGATAGATTAAAGGATAAAATTAAAAATGAAATGTCCTTTAAAATAATAAATGAACTTCCTACCACAATAGTTTACAAAGAATGGATTTCTCACTAACAAAAAATATCTATTAAACCTAATAACTTATACCCTCCACAAAGGCCTCTTTTGGATAACAAGTTAAAAATAATTTTTTGACGTTTAATATATTTTGTGCTCTTTTGACAACTTAGTAAAAGGGTCTAGCTTGTCTCAAGTTGAGATCAAGACTGGACTCGTCTAGTTCAGCCCATGGGGCCCATTTTTTGGACCCGTTTTGATAATCTGAACCGTTCAATGTGTAGAAATTGTCGAGTACTATATGGCTGTAAAAAATCACGTTGATCGGATATCAATAGCTATGTGATCAAATCAGTTTTGTATTAAAAAAAATGAACGGTGAAACAATTAACGGTTGATAAAAAACTGTTTTGTTCACATAGCTATCGATATCCGATCAACGTGATTTTTTATAGACATATAGTACTCGACGAGTTCTACATATTCAACGGTTTGGATTATCAAAACGGGACCCTTGGTGGGCTCCCACGGGCCCAACAACACGGTTCAATTCGATCTTGGACTGGACCAAAGCCGCTGCCTTAGTAAAAAGTTACATTTGTAGCTTGTAGCTTTTTTAGCAAGGAGTCATTTGACAAGTTCAAAAAAGCCACATATAAAATTACAATTATATTATTTATGTTTTTTTTTATATTTATATGGGTGAAAATATAAAATTTCTACATTGAGTGGAGGTAGTTTAGCTATTTTATTATGATGTGAGATCATAAATAAATATTAATAAAAAAAGTTAAAACTAGTTTTTTAATAACTTTCTAAATCACTTTTCTAAAAAATCCAAAAGCTTGATTAAAAATCAAAAGTCAGCTTTTAACTATCTTTCCAAAACACCCATTTGGATCATATTACTTTCCTATTTTTTTACACATTTTTTATAAAAAAAATAAAAAAATTAATTTTTAACCTATTTCCTAAAACAATTCAAATAATTTTCAATGTTTATAGTGACAATTAGGTAGCAAATGAGAGCAAGGATCCCTGCTTGACTTTTCTACTTGACTCCTTATTTGATGGGTCATTGGGTCTATTTTTTAGCTCAATTTCTATGATCTGAACCGTTCACATTTTAAAATTTGTCATGTACATTATATTTGTAAAAAATTAAATTGATCGAATATCGGAAGAATTAAAAACCGTTTATTAAAAAAATTTAATAAACAATTTTATTATTTAATAAAACTTTTAGTTCACGTAATTTTTGATATTCAATCGATTTAATTTTTTACAAATATAATATATATGATAAATTTTAAAATATAAATAATTTAAATCATCAAAATTCAACTCAAAAATTGACTCAATGGCCCAGTAAGAAATTAAGGGTCCGTTTGGGAAGAACTAAAGTGAGTTTTTTTGGTTATTTTAGTCACAAAAGACAAAATAGGCTATTTTAGTCATAAAAAACAAAGCATCACATCCAACCCATAATCATTACACTATTCTCTCATAAAAAAAGTCAAAAAATAAAAAAAATCTTTTCCAAATCAAACTTTTTAATCCAAATTAAAATAGTCAAAAAAAAATTAAAAAACCAAAAAACGAACTCACTACCCAAACGGAGATAAGTAGCGAAGCCAGGAGGGATCCTTGCTCAGCAAATGAATGAAAAACAATATTTGCATACCCAATCAGTAATCACCAAAGGAAACCCCTACTGGGGAAGAGCCAAGTGCCCAATCCCAACCCTGTGACAGACCCCTCAATCTTGCAGCCACTCTACACACAGAAACCAAAACGAGAGGAGAGAGAGAGAGAGACATACACACACCACCAGAGTTAATCCAGAGAGAAAGAGAGAGAGAGACTCCTCTCCCCCAATTCATCCGCATTCTCTCCGACCTTGCGAGCCGAGCGATCCCAAACCCCACCATGTTCCGCCAAATCACCACTCGTATTTTCTCCAGATCCACCTTCGCCTTTCGCGGCGGAGCCGCCGGGGCTCGGCTCTTCTCCACCGATTTACCGGCGGCTTCGACGGCCGACGAGACTTTCGTGGAGGCGTGGAGGAAAGTGATCCCCAACATCGAACCCCCGAAGACCCCTCTCGCCTTCATGACCCCTCGTCCTCCGACCCCGTCTTCGATCCCCACCAAGCTCACTGTCAACTTTGTTCTTCCCTACTCATCTGAGCTTTCCACCAAAGAGGTCTGTCATTGAAACCCTTTTAATTTCTTGTTGATTTTAATCTAAATTTATGTGGGTTTTGTCTGGATTTCACCAAGGAGCTCAGTCTCATAGAATCCCTTTTAATTTCTTATTGATTTTAATCTAATTTCATGTGGGTTTTGTCTGGTTTTCTTGCTATCACTGTTAATGATCCCATTTTGATCTTCTTTCATCTGGGTTCTGTTCATTTAGCCGTTAATGTTCTTTATATGCCACCTGGGGCTTCGTTTGGGTTTACTTGTTACGGTTTTGATTGGTTCATTTGGTATTATTGATTTCTAAGGCCATCTCCAATCCTTATACTTCTACTCTTGTGTAGAAGTTTGAGTAAAAAGCTTCATTTGATATGAAGCATTCCAATGGATAAACTCAAATTGGAGGAAAATTTTCAAGTTTGAAGTTGTGAGTGGATGCTGGGTGTTGGAGTGAATGAGAATTTGGAAAATTTGGGCAAAAGCACAGACGTGCCAAGTTTTAATTGGATAGAAATCTGAGTCAAATGAAAATGGGTCTCCCTTGATTTGAGTCAAAATTTGAGTAAAACTCAAATTGGTAAAGGTTTGAGTAAAGTAGTGGAGGGGTTTTAGTGGCTTTTTACTCAAATTTAAGTTTGAGCCAAGATTTGGGCAAGGGTTGGAGATGCCCTAATTTATGCTCTTATGTGAAATGTCTGGGACATGAGGTATGTTTCGTTGACTAATGACTAATTTGAGTGTGTTGTAAATGATGTTTCTTGTAATAGTGGTAATGAGTTTGTGGTGAATTAAATTGTTTACCTGAGAGGTTAAGGAAATGTTAGCAAGCTCCTTTCATAGATTTTCCATATTAAATAGTTTTAAATGGATATTGGTGTTTTTAGTTAAGAGTAATGCTATAGACCACTAATTTATTATCACTAATCCCACCACTAGTGAGGTGGCAATTGAAAAAAAAAAGAAAAAAAAAAAAAAAGGCACAAAACACATGTGGCAGTGGGTGGGACCCACTGCCACATCATTAGAGCCACCACTAATTAGTGGTCTAAAGTATTTTTGTTTAGTTAATGACGGAGTAGCCTTAGCTTGTTAGTCTCTACAAACTATGGAACATTTGGATTTTTCTTTTCGTTGATGTTTAGAATGTAATTTAAAGGCACCAAGAAGGTTAAGAGTTCAAAACATAGGACTTCCTCTTAGGCACACCACCCAAGGAGAGTTTTTATGACAAATGGAGAGTCTATGAAGACAGAAAAGAAGTATACTTAAGGGATGAGTTCTTCAGATTGCATATGACTCTACAGTTGACCTTCTCCTTGAGGTTAACAAATTGTTGAGTGAATTTCAAGACACGACCCCAAAAGAGTTATCTTATGACTTGTCACCCTTGAGGGATATTCAGCATTGCATAACCTATGATAGGATCGTAGTTGCCTAACTTCTTGTATTATCATATGAATCCTAGGGAACATATTGAATTAAATTTGCAGCGATAGGTACGCATTATTTAGTAAGGGTTATATTAGAGATAGTCTTAAGTGATTTTTGGTGGTAAAGAAAAGTGATCTCAATGTGCTGGTTTCTTTCTTTTTTATTTTTTATAATTTTTTTATTAACTAATTAAGTTGTATAATTAGGTATATTTGTTAGTTTTCTTAGTTTTATGGTAACATCCTTGGGAGGAGGGTGCTCGTAACTTATTTGTGAGCATCTTATCATCGAGTGGTTGCTTGTAAGCAGTTTGTCACCTACTTCTTGATGTAGTGATTGCATCATTGCATGTAGGACACCTATTCATAGGTGGTTGTGTGTAAAGTCATGTGTCGGTTGTCATTTGATTGTTCCATGAAAGCCATGTGTCACTAGCTTGTTTTAAGTGGCTGCATGTTTGCCATTTGTCATCTTCTTATTATTTTTGAATTTTTTCTATTTCAAGATACTTCATTAGTAACGTCCTTAGCTACTTATATATAGGCCTGTAATCACACTTTAATAGGAATTTTTTGAGAAATTAAATATCTAGATTTTGGTATTTTGTTGCAGCTTTACTTTGCTACTTCTTAGAGTTTGGTTTCCAGCAATTGAAATTTTGGATTTTGGTATTGTAGCCTTACTTTGCTAGTTCTTAGGATTTGGTTTCAAGCCCAAAAGCTTGTAGATTTTGAGTCTGCTTGCGGGATTTTTCAGAATCTTTCCGAAAAACTGGTTGTTGCATATTTTAGCCTTGATCTGATTTGAGTATGATTTGGGTCCATCTTTTGTTGTAGTTGTAAGAGTCCGACCAAGTTAAATCAATTTTGGCATCAGAGCAAATTAAGATTGTCTTAGTTTGCTTTACAAAAGTCTTCTTTAACATGGAAACTAACGTGAAATGTGATAGGATGATCAAGCCCATGGTGAGAGGATAAAAAATCTTCAACAAGGTATTGAAGGTCTAAAGAATGCAATTAAAGACCAAAGAAATGAAAATAATTATTGTTCTCAATGATTTGAAAATATGATGTTCAATCTTCTAAAGAAAAGTTTTCCCGCATATTATGAAAATTTTCACAATTGTGGTGGAGGGGTAAATTCTTGATAGATTGGTGCTACACATGATGAAAATAATTTGTGGTGGATAGGATTTTATAGATGACTCATTTTATCCTTGTAGTAAAAGTCAGATGCTTCACAATTCACATGTAGGTAGGTTGTTCATGTGTGAATTGTAACAAGTCTCCTTTGTTTGTTTGTTTGCTTTTTTGGTAAGTGAGACTTTTCCTTTCTTTTTACATGATTTTGTCGACTTTTAGGGAGATTAGGGAGATTTGTACATGTGTAGATATACAGGAAACTAAGAAGCATGGATATAGACATGAACACGCGACACAACACAAACACGATAAATACTATCACTTGTATTTTATTTCTTTGTTATTAATGTATGTACATTTTTTCAACAAATATTATCACTGTTATCTTTTTTTATTTTTTATTTATCAAAATCCCAGTACTACTGGACTATAACATTTCTTATGAACCTCTTTCCCCCGACTAATTTAAACAATTTGTTTATGGGTTCTAATATTTATTAACCTTTATTGATTCTTATTCTTAATCTTGTTATAAAAGAAATCATGTTTGCACAAAGGTGAACCCCCCGCACCTTGGGAACCAGCCTGTTGACCTTTATTTACTACTAATATCGTTATTATTGTTTTTTATTATTTTGTGAGTTTTATTTGATTGGTTGGAACATTATGTGGATTTAGAATCATATACATTTGTGCTGGATAGAGTGATTTGTTTGACAGCAATTTAATGATTCATGTTTCACATTGAACTTATGTCCAAGTTGTGTATTTGTGTCATTTATAAAATGAGATGTGTGGATCTCAAACTTGTTCATTTCTTTAATTAAGCTTGTATAAGCATTTATGTAGAGTTTTAATTTTTGTTTCCAAACATTTTCATACCTTTTTTTTCCCCCTTATGTATTCAAAATGCTTTTGAATATTTTATTTTGTCTTTTGTTTCCAAGCTATAACTGAAACAGCATAGTGAAACAAAATTTTGATCCTTGGTTATACTTAACTATCAAGTTTTGTGGTACTTGCATTTTCGAAGGAAGTTTGAGTTGTAGGGATGCTAGATTGGTTCGGTTCCTTGAGGAGTGCACTTTTGTTCTTAAACACTGGGCATGTGTAGAAAATTGTTTTTTTGATATTGCACTCAATAGAGTTGTTATGTGTCCATGTGGTTTTGATAGGCTAAAGGATGAGTACATTACTTGTCTCAATTTATTTGTCATTCTTTAAGAGGTTAGAAATGGTAATCGTCGTGATTATGTTGATTTTCTGCTCCGAGATGCTTACTTGTTAAGGGGTGTAAGTTTTGCATTTGTCACTTCACTTCAATTAAAGATTCCTAGTTTGGGAGTTTCATATGGGAAGTTTAGCCACACACTTTCGCTTCGTTTGTTTAGGTGGAAAACATTTTTCATAAAATGTTTTTCGCATTTTCTGGTATTTGTTACAACGGAAAACATTTTTTATGGTCAACGGAAAACATTTTTTATAGTCAACAGAAAACAAGCCTATTTGGGCTAAAAATGTTTTTCACTTTTAAAAGGCAGAAAACGTTTTCCAAACTAAAGTTTCACCAACGCCACTACATTGTCACCACCGCCACCGTTGCCGTTGCTGCCACCACCTCCACCTCCACCTCCACCTCCACCATGCCGCTGCTATTACTACCACCACTAATGCAACTATTAGTACATTAGTTTCAAAACCGCAACCAAACATAGGAAAACATTTTCTATGGAAAGCATTTTCTGGAAAAAGTTTTCTATAGAAAATGTTTTCCATTGAAAAATGTTTTCTACCGAAACAAACGGAGCATTTGGTAAAGACAAGACCATCACCCTTGCTGAGAATCAGTTTTGTTTGCTGTTCTTGAAAAGGGACTTTGCTAGGATTGTCTCTTGGTGTCACACTTATCGCTTGGCTAAGGCTAGAAGGAAGAACACTGGTTTTTACACATTTTTGCTTGTTCAACACACGCTGTGGAAAGACCTTAGCATAGATTTGGTTCTGGTTCTGGGTTACCCAATACAACTTTGATGACTTCATTCTATTTTAGTTGTGGCGGATAAGATTGCCAGGATTTCTCACTTTATCCCTTGTAGTAAAAACCTGATGCTTCACAATTTACATGTAGGTAGGTTGCTTTTTAGAGGTGTTTTTAATTGCATGGGTTTCCATTGTGTCGATAGGGGATTAATTTGTTTGTTATTTTTGAAAGATGCTAAAAATTGTTTGGAAGCAATTTTTTTATTTTTTTTTGCTTTTCCCCAAAACGATCGACAAATTGAGGTTGTTAATTATGGTTTTGGTGATTTCCTTAGGTGCATTGTGGGAGGACAAACTAGGTAATTGGGATCTTGTGTTGCCATAGTTTGGTCAATCGGTCTACTAGTAAGAGTTGAGATGTTCATGGCTCTCTCCTTTGCCAGCCCATTGCCTTGTACCATTTCCTCTTGATATCCGTCCTTTTGAGTTTGAAGAATATTAAGTCATGGTTTGTGGAAACTGGGTCTATTAATAGAAGGCTGGGCTTCAACGACTGGTGCTGACTTGGTTGTGGTCTTCTTTTGGAGAGAGGAGGAACTTGATGTATGACTTCTTTTCAGGTAAATCTTGAAGAGAGGGAAGGTTGCATAGCCAGGGGTCAAATAATGGACTAGGAACAAGTGTCTTCTTTGTGAGATTTTTCTTGTGACTAAGCATGTTTAAGGTGAGTTAACATTGGCTGCGCTGTGAGTACAAGGTCTCGTGTTTAGGTTGGTGGCTGGGGTTTAATTTATTTTGTAGAGTTCACTAGAAATATATGGTTGAATTGAAGGTCAATAGAAATGTTGTTTTGGTGCATAGCTTTTGAGGTTATGGTTTTTCTGTGAGATATTCCCTTCTTCATTTTATTTATTTATTATTTTTGGGTCAAAGAAGAAGTCAAATTGAGGGCGAAGTGTAACTCTTTGGACAAGATTTTGAGTTTGTCCAAAAATGACATTTTTGTGCAGTAGAATTCAAAGAAAAGGTCAAATTAGATACAAAGGCGTGATTTTTTTTTGAGTTCAGTATCCCTTCAAATTTTTGGACGAGCTCCGTGATTATTTTTTTAAAATCCGACTAATCTAGACTCTTCATCTCCTAGATGAAGGGAATTAGAAAATGATTGTACGGTTGTCATCTATTCTACTCTTATATATGTGAGGTCTTGATTGCAGGTTGACATGGTCATAATTCCAGCTTCAACAGGACAGATGGGTGTTCTTCCCGGACATGTAGCAACAATCGCGGAGCTGAAACCCGGGATTATGTCAGTGCACGAAGGAAATGACGTAAAGAAGTATTTTGTTAGCAGCGGGTTTGCGTTCGTCCATGCAAACTCTTATGCAGATGTAATTGCCATCGAGGCTGTGCCAATCGAACAAATTGACTCGAGCCTGGTCCAAAAGGGTCTTGCAGAATTCACCCAGAAACTGAACTCAGCCACAACTGATTTGGAGAAAGCGGAAGCCCAGATCGGAGTGGACGTGCATAGTGCTCTCAACTCTGCTCTCACAGGCTAGTGTTTCTAGTCTCTCCCTATGTCCCTTGATTCAATAATCATCTCACTTTTTTTTTTCTCTTGACATACCTCATCAAAACTTAAAAAAGTCTGTCTCATGACAGAAATTGCTTTTGAGTTTACTTCGTTTTCTGTTTTTGCTGTTTGGAATGTGGGAATGATATACCCGGCTTTGAATAGATTTTCTTTCTCAGGAAAGTTTTTAAGTAGAATCTCTTGAAAATGGGAACCTCTTTTGTGTCTTTGTTCCCAATGCCAGTCTTCTCTTTGATGGGTGGTTTCATTGTGGCAAGTCAAGCAATTGAGGCCCACAATAAATGTATTCCTGTGATGTGATGAATCCTGTAAACTTGAATTTGTTTGCCTCTGATTCATTCCATTTTTTATGCTCTTTTTAGATGTTGAAAATGAAAGAAAAGAAAATTGGGTTCTAAACGCTAGGGTCAATGATAGTGGTTTTGAGATTCGACATTCTGAACTAATCGAGTCTCTGATGCTCTATTTGGTTCATTGGAATAAGAGAGAATGGAATGGTGATATCTTAGGCTTTCTTATGGAATGATCAAATATAGGAATGAATATTTTGATGGAATGAATATTTTGATGGAATGATTATTTCATTCCACTTCATTCCAACGAACCAAACGCTACCTGAGGGTCATGATGAGGCAATTCTTTCATCTTTTACAGAGTTCATGTGGTAGAAGTTCTGCTTGGTGTAAAATGAGACCAGTGCAAAGACAATATGCTGAAGACATTAAGCGTTGTGTTTTTTAGGTAATAGAGTAGATTGATGATCAACTCGGCACAACCTCGAGGCCTTTTGTCTTCCATTAGGGAGTTCAAAATCAATACATTGAGGTCAATTTCATTAAGTTTCGATTTCCTCAAAAACAAAAACAAAAAAAGAAAGATATAAGTTTCGAAGTGGGCCGAATATACCAGTTTAATTTTGAGATGAGTAGTTGGGCACTTCGGGCATGAAATGCGAACAAGTTTCGATATTTTTGTCACTTTTGACCAATAGAATTTTCGACATTTTAAAAAAATTTAATTTTCGTGTCCCTTGTCCACAGAATTTTATCACACTATTTTGGAATACGAGTAAATTGGGAATTTGTTTTTAAGGTTCTTCATATTAAGATTTTATAAGATAAAAGTATATAATATATAGTAATTGGGGTCTCAATGTTGTCACAAAAAAAAATCGACACAGAAAAATTTTACCCGATACAGAGAAATTTTATCTCGATATAGAGAATTTTAGGTAGCGTTTGGTAGAGTTTTGTAAATGTGATTTGAGAGTATGAGTTGTATTTTGAGTTTGTGTGTTGTGGAATTATGATTTGAGTGTAGAAAATTTGTTTGGTAAAGAGTTTTGAAAATAGTTTTGGAAAAGAGGTTTGATTTGAGTGGGAAATTATTGATGTGACATTTGATATGTGATACAAAAATTTACAACTCATAACTAAACATACAATTCAAAATTATTTTAAAGCACATAAAAAATTTAAAAATTTTCAGAAAATATTTGTCCCGATTATGTAAATCAATTGCAAAAAAAAAAAAAAAATCTGAAAATCAGCCGGACATCCGGGTGGTCTACCGGGTGGACAACCGGGTGGACAAAAAAGGCGCCTGTGCATCAGAGTTCTCTCTGCAGAATGTAGAAAATTGATTTGAAAACGAAACCAAACATCATGCTCCAACACACGGGTAGAAAATTGATTACAGAGCACAAAGCCTTTTAAAGGAAAAATTCACCTCATCACAAAGAAAACACAAATTTCTCTATAACAAGTTAAAGTTTCTATAATAATATTATTAAGTTATCTTAACTAATAAAACAAATATATATTGAACCTCTCTTATCACCCAAAGTTAGATAATGATGTTTGACTAATTTTGTCAAGTAAGTTACGAAGACCTTTTGTGATTTATTAAAAAAAAAAATATTTTTTACTAATGTTTGAGAAATTAAACATTTTTTTCTTGAAATTTCTAATCACATAAGAAATGGTCTCATAAAAAAAGAAAGAAAAAAAGAACACATAACAAAGGATACAATTCGTTAATCAACTATTAAACCAAATTATCAGAGTATATGATGGAAGTAACAAATTTTAGCGAATAATATTTATATTAACATTAACTGTTATGAAATTCAACTTTGTATTTTTTTTCTTCCTTTTCCTATTTTACCTTTCTTATTAGTAACATCACTTTATTCAGTTATCGTACCACCCTCTTATTAATAACACTACTTTAGTCACATATAGGGATGAAAAAATATTTCGATCCACTGAGTTCCCGACTCCCCTCAACCATAATGAGATGGGTTTGGGGATGGTTATACAAGGTATGGTTGGATTTGAATTTTTTTTTTCAAAAATAAAAATATATATATATTGGATCTTTCTTATCACACAAAGTTAGAGAATGATGTTTGAGTAATTTTGTCAAGTAAATTACAATGACCTTTTGTGATTTATTAAAAATATAATTTTTTTTTTTTACTAATGTTTGAGAAATTAAACATTTTTTTCTTGAAATTTCTAATCACATAAGAAATGGTCAAATAAAAAAAAAAAAAAAAGAACACATAACAAAGGATACAATTCGTTAATAAACTATTAAACTAAATTATCAGAGTAAATGATGGAGGTAACAAATCTTAGCGAATAGTACTTATATTAACTCTTATGAAATTAAACTTTATATTTTTTTCTTCCTTTTTCTATTTTACCTTTCTTATTAGTAACACCACTTTATTCAGTTATCGTACCACCCTCTTATTAATAACACTACTTTGGTCACATATAGGGATGAAAAAATATTCTGATCCGCTTAGTTCCCGACTCCCCTCAACCCTAATGAGATGGGTTTGGGGGTGGTTATACAGGGTAGGGTTGGATTTGAATTTTTTTTTTCAAAAATAAAAATGTATATATATATATATTGGATCTCTCTTATCACCCAAAGTTAGAGAATGATGTTTGAGTAATTTTGTCAAGTAAATTACAAAGACCTTTTGTGATTTATTAAAAATATAATTTTTTTTACTAATGTTTGAGAAATTAAACATTTTTTTCTTGAAATTTCTAATCACATAAGAAATAGTCCTGTAAAAAAAAAAAAGTAAAAAAGAACACATAACAAAGGATACAATTTGTTAATCAACTATTAAACCAAATTATCAGAGTGTATAATGGAAGTAACAAATTTTAGCGAATAATATTTATATTAACATTAACTTTTATGAAATTAAACTTTATATTTTTTTTCTTCCTTTTCCTATTTTACCTTTCTTATTTTTTTTTGAGGATATTTACCTTTCTCATTAGTAACATCACTTTATTCAACTATCGTACTACCCTCTTCTTGATAACACTACTTTAGCCACATATAAGGATGAAAAAATATTTTGATCCATTGAGTTCCCGACTCCCCTCAACCCTAATGAGATGGGTTTGGGGGTGGTTATACAAGGTAGGGTTGGATTAGAATTTTTTTTTTCAAAAATAAAAATGTATATATATATATTGGACATCTCTTATTACCCAAAGTTAGAGAATAATGTTTGAGTAATTTTGTCAAGTAAATTACAAAGACCTTTTGTGATTTATTAAAAATATAATTTTTTTTTTTTTTTTACTAATGTTTGAGAAATTGAACATTTTTTTCTTGAAATTTCTAATCACATAAGAAATGGTCTCATAAAAAATAAATAAAAAAGAACACATAACAAAAGATACAATTCGTTAATCAACTATTAAACTAAATTATCAGAGTATATGATGGAAGTAACAAATTTTAGCGAATAATACTTATATTAACTTTTATGAAATTAAACTTTATATTTTTTTCTTTCTTTTCATATTTTACCTTTCTTATTAGTAACACCACTTTATTCAGTTATCGTACCACCCTCTTATTAATAACACTACTTTAGCCACATATAGGGATGAAAAAATATTCTGATCCGCTGAGTTCCCGACTCCCCCCAACCCTAATGAGATGGGTTTGGGGGTGGTTATACCGGGTAGGGTTGGATTTGAATTTTTTTTTTCAAAAATAAAAATGTATATATATATATATTGGACCTCTCTTATCACCCAAAGTTAGAGAATGATGTTTGAGTAATTTTGTCAAGTAAATTACAAAGACCTTTTGTGATATATTAAAAATATAATTTTTTTTTACTAATTTTTGAGAAATTAAACATTTTTTTCTTGAAATTTCTAATAACATAAGAAATGGTCCCATTAAAAAAAAAAAAAAAAGAACACATAACAAAGGATACAATTCATTAATCAACTATTAAACCAAATTATTAGAGTATATAATGAAAGTAACAAATTTTAGCAAATAATACTTATATTAACTTTTATGAAATTAAACTTTATATTTTTTTTCTTGCTTTTCCTATTTTACCTTTCTTATTAGTAACACCACTTTATTCAGTTATCGTACCACCCTCTTAATAATAACACTACTTTAATCACATACAGGGATGAAAAAATATTCTGATCCGCTGAGTTCCCGACTCCCCTCAACCCTAATAAGATGGGTTTAGGGGTGGTTATACAGGGTATAGGGTTGGATTTGAATTTTTTTTTTTCAAAAACCTTGATTGGATTCGGGTCGAGGTGGGGTGAGGATATTTTTTTTATTCAAACCTGACCCGACCTGCAAATATGGTTATAAATAAATAATAATATTATATATATAATATGCGTATAATATATTATTAACTTTTTATAGAATATATATATATATATAATATCTATTGAGTTTTTATTATGTTCTATATATAATAAAATTTTAATATATGAACAATATATAATTTATTTTTTTAATTATAAATAGTATTATCTAGTTTTAATTATTAAATTTTAATGTTGTTGTTAAATTTCTTATTATGTTGAAGATTGCGTGGGGTCACGCACGGGGGTTATATTTGCGAGTGAGAATGGGGTAGGGGCCTACCCTTCCGTTGCCGTCCCTAGTCACGTAGTTTAAGGGATATGGAATCACAAAGTGTGAGACTATTTAGGTTTGGTGGACTCATTTTAAAGTTGATTTTGATGATTTAAATTGTTTATTTTTTTAAATTTATTGAGTAAAATATTTATGTAAAAAATTAAGATGATTAAATATTGATAGTTATATGTTTGAATTATATTTATTTTCAAAAAATAGACCACCAATATAATTTAAAGAATAACCATCCGATCATTTTAATTTTTTGCATAAATATTCTACTTAACAAGTCTTAAAAAAGTGAATAGATCTGATCATCGAAATGGGATATGTGATGAGCTCCATGATCCCCTCAAGTTCTCTCATGTTAAGATGTAAATATGAGAGAAACCTAATCCTTACAATATA